CCCCCCAATATTCGGCGAAGAATCTTATTACGGCTGCAATTTAGCCGTTCCGACGATAGCGCCGGGCCAAGAGGAAATTCGGCTCATTTCATGGAACTTTAAATTTCATTCAGGCATCCTGAAATGTGTACTCGTGCGTGCCCGGCAAGCCGTAGCCGATATGACAAATTATTAATCACGTTGCTCCATACCGTGCCGACGCGTTTCCTTCCGTAGTCCATGATAAAACTGCCGGGCACTGTAAAAATTGCGCTATCAAGACTACACGTGTAGCGAGTATTGCACCATAACGTCTCGCTATGTTTGCTCTTTGATGCGATGCTCGTACAAATCACACTAGGCGCTTTTGCACTATCAATTTTAATGATAAGATGAAACGTACGTTATGCATATACGTATGTCTTTATTACTTACTTGCTACGTCGAAAGTATAATACAATTGGAAAATTTCTACATTGCGCAAATATCGATCTGTTCTTGATGTTTCGATATGGCTTTCCATTCGTGATACAACATGACATTGGCCTGTATTTATAGTCACGTTTGTGCTGAGCAATTCAATTTGGAAACGATCTTGAGAAATGACACGGTTCGATAGATAGATCTTGAAAGTCAATTTGATATTCGTGATATCATATTTATAATCGCGATTCTATTGAGGGGGCTTGTCCTGAGATACGACCCAAGTTTCTCGTTTGTTCCACCGAGTCTTGAGAGAGGATCGTATTGTATAATGTCGTATTGTATCGTATATATGTATTGCCTTTGAATATTGTCTCATTTAATTAAGTTAGGAAAGATTTCGTTGCTCAACGCGAAAGTACAATAATTTGAAAAGAAATTTGAAATTGGAAGGTGAAAATTAAAAGTGTTGCATTCGTAAATATTTTTGCAAATTATTATCTTATCCGATAAGAAAATTAATATATCAAAACGAATTCGTTATAGATCTCTGTATTGTTTTTTTTTTGCGCAATTGATTTCCAGCGCTGACTCATAATGCCCACTGTTATTTTTTTGTACATTTTTATGATTTTATTATTAATATCAAAACATATTTTTGCAAAAATTTGTGAAAACTGACAATTAATTTATTATTTTATCTTTTATAAAAACTCACAAATGAAATTCAGGAATAAAAAAAATAAAGGTAATTTCTTTGGTTTATTGGATAAAATGTATAGTTGTCCTTTTTGCAATTGGATAGTAAACATTTTAACACAGTCTAATAAAGTTATTTTTGCCAGTTTCACGTATATATTTCTCAGATATTTGCGATTTTATCACACATACGTAGTTGCTATCGATATACTGATAAACTTTCATTTTTGTCCCATCATTTCGGAGCAGCGATTGCTTAAATAACGAACGTTTGCCATTTTTGTTACAGGGATCTCGAAGCAGGTATGAAGTGCATCAAAAAGTACACGCTAACTTGCATGCAGCAAAAGCAACGGGAGCACTTCAACTCTCTGTACACCGGCACCAACATGGCTATCATGGAGCTTTGCCAAGACGGCCCGTACCAGGACGGTAAGTGCTCTTGCCTAAATCATCGAACCGATTAGATATTTACGTCTTCGATGTATAATCATAATTGCTAAAAAGATTATCATGAAAATGAGAGAAAGAAATTAATTTCAGTATTACAAAACTGACTTGCGCGGTTGAATAAAAGATTTAGAATTTTTTTTAGCCAAGTGCATTTTTACATTTTATGTCTTCTAAAATATTAACATTTGGAATTTAAATGGGGGAAGGAACGAATATAGAAATTTTAAATAAAAATGCAGAAAGTTTTGAGGAATCGATAAGTGGAGAAACTCGTTACGGAAATCTCTCACGGAAGAGTTAGGCAGGCAATTGACTTTTCTATTTATAAATATCCGATATTCTGTATAATTTGGAATTAGATTCTTATTTTCGTGGATAGGGGATCCTTTATTACAAATAAATCCGTCGTTTGTAAATTGACATAGATCTTATCTTCGAAGAGAGAAATATATAACGACGCGCAAAGTCATCCGCCAGTCGACAGAGCCAGCAACTCTTTTGCCAATTGGACAAGCGGTAGGCATCAATGCAATTCCAAACTGTCGGTCCAGTCAGAGATGGTACTAGACTCAATAATGCAACCGGCACTCTCGAGATTACGGGAATATCGTGTAGATTGTCCGCGGGTCGATCGAGCCGGCATGACTCTTCATAATGTACTCCCCTCCGTTAGAGAGAGGCACTGTAACATAATGAATTGTTAGCAAGGAGAGTAATATTGATTCCTCATACCGCATGCTGCGTAATGTACAGCACGCCTATCGTAAACAAGAGCCGGGAAAGCGGCCTTTATATTCAAAACTGTGATCTCGAAGCATGACGAGGCTAGTGAGTGCGTCAGTCAATGAATCTACGTATATTCTTGTAATTATAGACCGCGCTTGTAAATAGCTCGAGTTATTTTCTAAGAATAGAATCGCGGGAATGCGATTGAATCTGAATCAACTTTAATTTCTATTTAATTACCTAGATAATTTAATCAACTTCAATTTCTATTTAATTACCTATGTAATTTAATTACCTATTTTCTAGAACTCTTCAAGAACGTGAATAGATCTGTCGATTTTAGTTATTGCGCTTGTTACAAATTGAAATGATTATGTTCTGGAGAATTAATACGCATGTATATTCATTCTTTTTAAGTAATATTAGATTATATATTTCCCCGCTTGTCAAGTCGGCTTGATTGACCTCGAAATTTCATTATTGATACCTATGTTCCTACGAATACGCCATTGTTCAATAACGGAAATGCAATTTTCTGTTTGCAGAATTCTTGAAACACGCGCCGTGCATGCAGAAATCCAAAGCCGAATACGAGCTTTTGTGTTACAAATCGTATCAGAAGACGACTCAAGAAATAATGACCAATGGCTCATTGGGACAGCAGAATCTCAAGTCCCTTTGCTGGTAAGTCGAAGAAATCTTTGTAGATAGGTGTATATAAACGATGAGTAGGAAATAAGATAAGTATATATAGTTATCACGGCGTTTGCTATTCACTTCAATGACCTAATCCGAAAATAATTGAAATGCTTAGCGAAGAAAAAATATAGATATACGATGACATCACTTTTCTTCGGGATCACTTACTTTATTATCATCGTAAATGATTAATGTTTGTGCCGTAAAATATATATATCATATCAAATACACCTATATGTGTATATGTACACTTGACCGGAATTTCTACATCGTTGCAAAGGATGCAACTCAGTCCATTTACTTATCCGAGAAAGTTTGTTAGTTTAGCAACGTGGAGGTAAACCTTAGAACTCAAAGCGCGAGTCAATTTGACCTAGCCACTTTTCAAAATGTAGATCCTCGACTGTTTTGTCTATATACATATATACGCCTGCGGATTATTAACTTTTACGTGTGAGAATAAAATAACATTTATATTATATTCAAAGAAAAAGAATGCGCGTTTATTTAATAATTTATTTAAACAAGTGGAATGAATAAATTTATTCCGCATATTTTATAAAAGAAATTACTGAGTAATATAATAAAATAATTCATTATACTATAATAATTCATTTGTCGTAATTTTGTATTAAATTGTAGATTGAATCATATTCTATTAAAAATTGTGTTAGATTTGCTAATAAAAATTTTTTTTCTTTATAAAGAATCGATATTACGTTAATATTTTACGAAAAATAAAATATGAAGAAAAAGCATCCTCGTGTTTCGAGTGCATCTCACGGGGATTGTACGATGATTCTTTTTCTCTAAGTCGATGTTAAATCGAAGGAAAAATCGAGTTAAGATTATGACATGAAAGATCGACGGTGCGGAGCAAAATACGCGAGCAACACGGACAAATAGGTTTAAGCAATACTCGAAATTCTGGCGTTTTGCATTAGCGCAAAGACGTAAAATCTCTCGACTGCGATAATTTAACACTTAAGAGCTCGCCGGCGAAACAACTGCATTAATAACGACGGGCGTTGCTCAAAGGACTCGCGCAAAAAGAGTGTAATCAGTCCTTTAGGTCGGAAGTTTCACGCTGATGCCTGTACAGACACACAGGGTGTAATGTCATTAGCGTATCTCAACCACGGTCTACTGCAGCTTTTGAACTTGCGCATCCCTCGCGAAAGGGGGACGTAAGTAGTGTGATGCTGACCCGAAACTGAATAACAGGTCCGCAAAAGCACATTCCTCGCGTCATTTTGTTTCTTCGTAGTATATGATTTTATTAAACCATCACGAGCGCTCTCTTTCGGAAAGAGAAGAAGTTACCTCACAAAAGAACGGGGTGAATTGTGGGGAGGGGGGGGGGGAAATAAACGCGAGAATTTATTCTGTTGTAACAGATTTACGAATTTTACATAATTTTAGAATAATATTTTGGAAAAACAACGGAAAAATTTCGAAAATTTTGTGATAGTAATTGTAGCGCTAATGATTCTGCGCCTGGTGTTCTCCAATTGTAATTCGATTTGTTACGCTCGTTAGCGGTTTGCAACAGTAATTCGATAACCACTTATTTCATTCCATTTTGGCGTTTGGAAAAGAGGACTTTGAATAGAATATGGGATATTGTTTGTGCAGCGCCTTCCAGGAGTACTTGGAATGCTCTCATCATACGGTGCGCCGTCAGTGTGGCGATGATACAGCACGATTCACGAAGGAGTTCCTCGACAGAATGTCAAGCTCGTTGCTGAAGGTGAGTTATACATATTTCATTCGACATCATGTTTCATTGGTACGAAAGTACACGCTGAAGGCTTTCATTAATTGCCCCGTTTATAATTGATTTTAATTACTGTTGCAATATTGCCTTTGAAAACATTTTGATTTTATATGGCTCCATTTCATTTATTTTGACTATATTTGGAGAAGATGGAATCAATTTTTATACTTTTTAACAAACTTGGATTTTTTTTTATTTTTATTTTTTTTATAAAATTTTAAGGTAAGTCATCATACATTTAATATATATTTTGTTAATTTTTGATGCTTCGTATCTTGATTAGTTGATGATCTTTGAAAATATTTTGATGGAGCCAAGAAGTAAGTGTTATTCCTTTATATTATTTAACAAATATACATATTGCAAATGGATTCTTTTTATCTTTTTAATCTGGATGATTTAATATTTAATAAATCGAAGTAAGTTAATCAATTTTATTATACAATTAATTTGAAAGTAGTTTAAAAAGGTAAAAAAAATTATCTCGAGTACCGATATTTGTATTATTTCTGCTTTCGGAAGTAAAATACGGAGCCAAGGAAAATACTGAGCGAAATTAGCAAATGACCATCTTACACCAGTTAATAGTAAACGATCATCTTAGCGAGTAGTAAGATCGATAATAAAACCGGCGAATTAAAGGGAGGACGAATTGTTTGTCTTGTTTGTTACAGGCGCACTGTGCGCCCTACACGGAATGTACCGTGAACAGCGGTATCTCGACGCTAAATCTTTCTGCCATTATGCCAATGACGCTTATTCTCCTTATGAGGTACTTCACGTAATTGGTCTCGGCCAAGATCATTTTTTATCTTCGAAAGATAGAAAATAGGGAAATGAGAGAGGGCGGGATATATAGAGAAAGGGGATCGAGGAAGAAGAATGAAGAGATGAGAAGAAGGGCGCTCCAAGAAGACGAGAAGAAACTGGAGATAGCCCATTCGGCTTTTATCGTGCTTTGCTTCAGAGAGAATATATTCCTTATTTTCGAAGAGTTCTCGGTGAAAGATCGAAGAAGAGGCCGTAGCGATCAAAGGGGAAGAAAGGAGAGCATCAGGGGAAAAGAGGATATCCACAAGGGCTTGAGAAGTGAGGAGAGATATATAGAGGAGGAAAAGTACGGCGTTTCTTTCTCCGTAGAAAATATATTTTTCATTTGCAAGATGATGCGAGAGATCGCAATAATCACGATTACGGGAGCAGGCAACAACGAGAGATCGGTGTATTAAGAGCCGAAGGGATATCAGGGGAAGGGAAATGCTTTAGAAATACGTTATGAAAGGGTTGTGGAAGTCAGAGGGAGCGGAATCGCATAAGAGGATTTTCAGGAACAGCTCCCTTCCACCGCACGTCATGGAAGTATCGAACGATAAAATCGATCGTGATGCGATGTATCTGAAGAAACGGAGTCTCTTCGTTCAATGCGATTCGCTAGTCCGTACGATACCGCGACAGACGCAAGACTGACTCGATTTTTCCGCGGTTTTGTCACGAGATGAGCATAAGGTAAAAAGAAGAAAAAAAAAAAAACAATACTCCTTATTAACCGGCGAGATCTTTCGCGGATTGTCCTTTGGAATGGCCGCGCGCGTGCTGTTTCAACGCGAGAACGCGAGATAGAATTTGATCCTCGAGAATACGTGGCGTTTGGATGAAGCCGGAGAAAAAGACGGTAAGGGTAAAACATTTATAGCGAGGAAGAAGGCAAACGTGCCTTTCCGGCACGTTTTCGCCTCGATTTCGAAAAAGAGCACTCGTGCGGAACGAACGAGCTATCGTCGCCTAGAAATCAATTTCATCGAATAATCACGATCTATCGATTCGCGCGAACAGCGTTAGAGAGAAGGAAGCTCGGCGAGACGAGTCTGAGTCGTCTGAGTAGAGCAAAGAATTTCTACTTGAGCAGAGGGAACGGTGGATAAAATCACGGTGCGTTCTTTCGCGCGGGTATGTTTCGGTAGAAAATGCAATCGCTATGTTGCCGTCGATTCGAGAAGCACCGTGTGTCGCCTCGCTGAAAGTTGGAGAAAAGTTCAAATTGACACGCGTTATCCGTGACTCATCCGAAATGCGGCGTTTTCGAGAGAGGATCAGTACAATTAAACTAACTCGTCCTCGAAATAACGGCGAGCCGATAGGTAACGAAGCTTCGAGCTAGGTATGTCAAATTAATTTTCCTTCCATACGGCTTATACCAGCACTGCCGCAGTATATTCGTACTTTCAATATTTGCGAAATCCGAGCGAGATCCGAAAGTTTGAAGAGCACTTTTTAATTTCATCGGCATAATGTGACTTTAAAAAAAAAAAAATTTTTTTTTAATTCTTTCTCATCGGAAAATGCATACAGAATCACGGGGAATTCTGTGCAAGTGAAAGACCGACATAATTAGGATAAGTAAAAAGAATTGCTCTTAAAAAAGAAAAGTGTCGTTCAATATTCGTAAATAATATATTCGTACGC